GGCGGGATCCGAACTCGACGGACTGCCAGTGCAGCGAGTAACAGGTTTTCGCGTGGCTGCAGCTATTGGAACGGGTGGTTGGCGTTTGCACAGAAGCAGGCCATGCTTGGGGGCACCCCCCACAAACCCCCATAAGCCATTTCTTGAATCGAGCATTCTGCGCACCCCTGGGCCTTCGACTTCCAGAACACGTCGGGATCGACGGCAGACCGACAACGGACACGTCAACTGTCATCGACGGCAACCCCCACAAACCCCTACACGGGCATTCATGACGGCGATGAATTTTGCGCACCAATACTACTCCTGGAAGCAACTCGCACGAAAAGGTCCACGCCTCATGCGAAGGACGGTTAGATTCCAACGGATGAAGGTCGAAATGCAGAAATAACATGTCGAAATGCAGAAATGGATGAAAGACCCCCTCCCCTGCAACCCTTCCAAACCCCGACTCCGCCAATCGACAAGGCGAACCCCGATTCGCGCTCCGGGAACGTCAATGTGCGACAGCGCAAACCGAAAAGCGCGCCGGAACAGGAGCACGTCCGCAACATGACTCCGCGCTCCGCGACAGTCCAAACCCGTAGGGGGCAACATAGATCGACGGCAAGCCGATGAAGGTCACGTGTGCTGTCACCGATGGCCACCCCCATAAACCCCTACGCGGGCATTCCAGGCAGCGAGGAATTTTGTGCACCAATACTCCTCCCTCGACCAACTCGCATGAAAAGGTCTACGCCTCATGCGAAGCATGGTTAGATGCATGTGGATTCTCAAAGTCCGCCGGGATCCGAACTTGGCGGATGCGAGTGCAGCGAGTAACAGGTTTTCGCGCGGCTGCAGCTATTGGAACGGGTGGTTGGCGTGTGCACAAAAGCTGGTGATGCTTGGCCGCACCCCCCATAAATCCCTAAACGCCTATTCTTGAAGCGAGCACTTTGCGGAATGAAGGGCCTGCGACTACCAGAACACGGCGGGATCGATGGCAGACCGACAACGGACACGTTTGCAGTAACCGACGTCAACCCCCATAAACCCCTACACGGCCATTCCAGACGGCGAGGAATTTTGCGCAGCAGAACTCCTCCCGGAAGCAACGGGCACGCAAAGGTCCACGCCTCATGCGAAGGACGATTAGATTGCCGCAGATCCTCAAAGTCCGCCGGGATCCGAACTTGGCGGATGTGTGTGCACCAAGCAACTGATTTTCTTGTGGCTGCAGCTATTGGAACGTGCGGTTCGTGTTTGCACAAAAACAGACGATGCTTGGCCGCACCCCCCATAAACCCCAACAAGCCATTTCTTGAAGCGAGCATTTAGCACACCCCAGGGCCTCCGACTACCAAAGCACGTCGGGATCGATGACAGACCAACAACGGACACGTCTGCTGCCACCAACAACAACCCCCTTAAACCGCTACAAGGGCATTCCAGACGGCGAGGAATTTTGCGCACCAATACTCCTCTCGCAATCAAGTCGCACGCAATGGTCCACGCGTCATGCGTAGGACGGTTGGATTCCAGTGGATCCTCAAAGTCCGCCGGGATCCGAACTTGGCGGATGCGAGTGCAGCGAGTCACAGGTTTTCGCGCGGCTGCAGCCGTTGGAACGGTTGGTTGGCGTTTGCACAGAAGCAGATGATGATTGGGCGCACCCCCCATAAACAACTACAAGCCATTTCTTGAAGCGAGCATTTTGCGCACCCTAGGGCCTCCGACTGCCAAAACTCGTCGGGATCGACGGCACCCCGATAACGGACACGCTTGATGGCACCGACGAAAACCCCCGTAAACCCCTGAATGGGCATTCAGTACGACGAGGAATTTTGCGAACCAATACTCCTCCCGGTAGCAACTCGCACGCGAAGGTCCACACCTCATGCGAAGGACTGTCAGTTTCCCGCGGATCCTCAAAGTCCGCCGGGATCCGAACTTGGCGGATGCGAGTGTAGCGAGTAATAGGTTCTCGCGCGGTCGCATCTATAGGAACGGGTGCTTGGCGTTTGCACAGAAGCAGGCGATGCTTGGGCGCACCCCCCCATAAACCCCTATAAGCCATTTCTCGAAGCGAGCATTTTGCACACCCCAGGGTTTCCGACTAGCAGACCACATCGGACAGTCCGAGGGCTTGAACGGGGCGGTTGGATTTGCGCGGAACCCCGAAGTCCGCCAAGATCCGAACTTGGATTGTAGAAGGTGACATCACCACGGCCTGGCGGCTGCCTCAGAAGGTTATTCCAGGAATTCTTTCAGAAGAAATTGCTTGTAGAAATGTTTAGACCATAGTTCGAACAGCCAAAAGTGTTGGATATGCTCTTACATTCGTGCGGGGAGGAAATAAAGCGACAGACGCGCTTTGTGTCATTACGTGCGCCGGCAATGGAAGCTCACAGTGTTGGCTATGTGGTTTTAACAACGCAAGTCTATATGATGACGCCGACAAACTCCTTGCGCAACTCGCCACATCGCAAGCGCCAACAAGTGAAGTTCGCCGGTGGCGGCTGGCAGGGTGTTTGGAGCTATCGACTCGTGCGGGCAAGTGGGGTCGTTGTTGCAACTGCAAGCGCGAACTACAACATGATTGTTGGTGTGTTGTCATGTGCGCGCGCTCTTCCCCATGGCCACACGACGTCATCACCATGGCACTTCACAGCCGCAGAAACGGTGTGTTCCACGACACAAGCGAGAGTGAACAGCATGGAGGCCACGTTGTTCGATATTGAACGAGGCCCTCGACACAAGCGAGAGTGAACAGCATGGAGGCCGCGTTGGTATCGCAGCGGGGACCGCATTGTTCGATGTTGAACGAGGCCATTGACTCGAGCGGTGATCACGCCGACAAAACGGTGTGTTTCACGACACAACCGGTGACCACGGGGTGTTCTCTACGACGCAAGCGGTGATCACGCCGACAAAACGGCATCGTCGTTGTGGCGACTTGCGATGTCGTTCTCCATCGCGCGCAGACCGCTTGTGCGTTCTCTGGCACGGAACCCTCAGATGTCACGCGCACATTCCTTTCGCTGGTCGCAAGGAGTGACGCAGCGCATCGCTCACGACCAGCGCCAGCAGCTCGCGCTCAACATCGGTGGGCTCTAGGACGGATGATCAGCATGCTATGTGTGCGGGATCGGGTTGACACGTGGTCTCTACGGCGACAGAGGCACATGTTCAGTGGCGAGACATGTTCCCGGTGTTGGACACCAGCCGTCTTAAGCGTAAGAGACAGCCAATGCACGACAGGTGGATGATCGAGAAACGCCCGCGCATCCCTGTCGTGCTCGCACAAATGCCCTCCAGTCGTGCTCGCACATTCAATCATTTGGAGAACCGCACCCAGATCCCTGTCGTGCTCGCACAGTTGCCCTCCCCCCCCCCCCTGTGTGAGAGAAAGGTTCTCTCATACAGGGGGGGGGGAGGGGGGGCGACTGTGCGAGCACGACAGGGATCTGCGCGCGGTTCTCCATCATCCACCTGGCGTGCAGTGGCTGTCTCTTACGCTGAGTAGGGGTGGCGCTCAACAACGGGAGGACGTCGTCAATCCGTGTTCAGGTTCTCGTCACTTAACATGTGGCTCTGTCGACTACGTGGCAACACAAGGGCAACTGGTGTCATCTCAATCCGGCGCACATATCTGCGCGGGGGTGGTTCACATCGAAAGGGACAAGCAATGAAGTCATGAAAGGAATGAACGAGCGAGAATGAACACAGAACAAGAAAACGAATCACAGATAAGGAATGAACGAGCGAGAGTGAACAGCATGGAGGGATGGACGCCGCGGACTCGAATCCCTTCACGTCGACAGCGGTACCCACCACCCGCTATACGTGGCACGATGCAACGCATCTTATGGTCACACAAGCATGCACCTCAACCCCAACGCCAGCAGTTGTAGTTGATGGAGGACATGTGGCCAGACTGAACAGCATTGTACCTTGAATGGCAAGGTCGGCCATGTCACGAGGGCGAAGTGCAGACGACAGCCGACACGCGATGACGCGGAACGCAAAAAGGGGATGTCGAAGCTCAGTCGACTGACGCGATGGCGGGGGGAAATCAAGACGCCCGCTCTCGGAGACACGAGGCGCGACAGCGGATTTCGCGCAGGCAATGGAGGAAGTCGCTTACATGATGTCGCGCGGACCAGCTCGTCGGGCAGGAGACGCAAATGGGCAGCACCAGACCCCACTCAGATGCTCATCTATCGTCGCACCCCACGCCTGGTTCGAAAATGCACGTCGGACGCCCACGCAGGAAGTGCCACAGACACCATGTTAGAAGACGCACTATGGCCGTCCGATCCGCAAATCGGACGGCCAGAATGCGACTTCGCAACCGGGCCCAACCGCCTCC